GATAAGATAAGATAAGATAAAAACTAAATTTCTGAGAATCCATTCTTGCACTTCACTCTCTTCAGTGTTGTGTTCCTCTCTAAATTATGAACAAGTGGTGGATGAAAGCTTTAGTGAGGGGAGGCATATTTATATTTTATATAATACACTGTTGCTCAGTGAAAAAGCAGGTATGTGATATTTTTGCATTTGATGAGATTCTGGCAGTGGAAATCATGACTATTAAGTTTTTCACTTATAAAAAAAAACTACAATGACACAATGTTTTTAATTTTCTAACCAAGTACAAAAACACACTTTTTATATTTGTCATTTTGTTCAATTTTTTATATAAAAATAGAAAATTCAGTTTTTTTACTATATAGGTGTTTAAGAGACATTTGGAATCAAGAAAGAAAGAAAATATGAAGAGCTTTAATGTGTGATTTTAGAATCTTACCTTTTGATATGCTCGAGGAAGCAACCCAACCAGCAGAAGAAATAGCATTACTATTTAAACTCAGCAGCTGCACGCATTTATTTATTTTTTATCAGCCTCTCTCAGTCTTGTAACTTATTTATCACGGCTCAATGCCTTCAGACTGAGCTCAGAGACTCTGTTGTAGATTTGCTGCTGGGTTTAGTTTTTTGTGTACCTTTTTTTCTCATAATGCTTTGAATGCTGTGTTTACACGRTATCAGAAAAATAAAAGATTAATCATCTGTGTTCTCTGGGCCAAATCAGACGCAGAGTGCTGAAGATATCAGATGGTATTGAGCACATGGGGGGGATGCGCTGGGAGCTGGCCATGTGTCTGGCTCTGGCCTGGTTCATCTGCTACTTCTGCATCTGGAAGGGACCCAAGTCAACGGGCAAGGTAAGACCGGGCAGTGCATGTTTACTGGTGTCTGTGTGCCCCGTTGTCCATCAATTACATCAGTGTAAACGTTCACCATTAGCACTTTATTTATGAAAGAACAGTTTTAATTCTTTTGAAGAAATTGTGCCGATCTTTTGAAAAGAGCTTGAAAAGGTGTAAAATTGGTTAACATCATATTTATCTGTTAGACCAGTGATTCCCAACCTTTTTAGACTTGTGTACCCCCTGAGCCATTGTGTCATACCACTAGTACCCCTCCGTCAACCGTAATGATGGTTCTCCAAAACTATAATGTACAATAGCTGATCATTAAGTGGAAATTATTTATTTAACCCCCTGGAATGTTTAATTCTCAAGCATTTAACTCTCTTCTCCTCAAATTAAACATAAAGATAAATATGTTGCCTTGAAAGTGAARAAGTAATTAAATAAATAAACCAGGTAATGGCAGGTACAGGAAACAGCAGCATCCAAAATACATCAAATTCCCCAAATGAGCAAATTCTGTGAGATTCCACGTTTTATACAGGAATCCATTTTGTGTCAATTTTGTGATTCCGTTTGCATTTCCTGCATTGTGGAAATCATGCATATCTCTATTTTTATTTTATTTTATTTTTTTTACACACCGGGGAAATTCATCCACGTACCCCCTGTAACATGCTCATGTATCCCAAGGGGTACACGTACCCCTCATTGGGAATCACAGTGTTAGATCATGCGAGGCTAAGATTAAATTTAGTCCATGGACCACTTTTTGGTCCATCTTAGGGGGGCAGAACTTCAACATAATTTTTGAAAAGATATGTCTGTAGATGATATTTTGGTGTGATAGTCCTTCTAAAGCACGAGCTTGGTCACAGTTGCTCATGAAGTTAACAAACCCTTAAGAWAAATGCACCTTTTTGACACTGGTGTACATCTGCTTATGCAGGGACATTGGTTAAAGGTTTATKTTATAGTGTTTGGTATCATTGTAAAAGGGACCCTCCTAGTTTTCATTTAATCCAGGATTCGAGGGTCTTTGACCAACACAGAGGTCACTATAGAACTCTTTAAATCACAATAGTTTTTCCCATAATTTTTGCCTAAACTAAACATTTTCTTACTTTACCTTTCTTTGCTTTTTTCTACTTTATTTAAGTAAACAACTATATTGGTATAAAAATATCATGGCAGTCTACATAAATAGTTTTATAAACTTTTACTCATGACAAGCTTTTTTTTAGAAAGCCCAAATGGCAGCTACAGCTCGCTGTAGCATTCCTATTGCAGCTTGACATGCTTATGGCAGAAATTAAATGGTATTTCTGCCATAATAGCTAAATAATGTAAAGTCAATGGTGGTAAAAACCTTTATTTATAAGGCAGCTTTTGCATGGAACTGCTCTGAAACCCACACTGATCTTGGTGCCACTCAGACATTAAACTCTTCAATCCAATCAGAATTCAATTCTTTTTCTGAAGCTATCTACAACAGATGGAATATTTATTGTTCATAACATTTCCACAGAACTAAAAAATATTTATAAAAACCCAAACTACCCCTTTATGCTCAAGAGTTTAAAAGCAAAAATCTTGTTTGGTCCTCAAAGGAACTCTCTCACAGGAAGCCACGACTTTTCTCCCTCAAACACAGAACAAAAAAGGTGTCTGAACACTACTTTCCTTTCCTTCACACTTTCCATTTTAATTCTTTCCTCAAGTCTCCTTTGGCAGACTTGAGGTGGACAGTAAGGACTCTACACCTTCCCTTCAGTGTTCAGTAGCTCTAAATACTCCCTCACAGATCCAATGAGCCAGAATGAGATAGAGTCAGAAAGAAGGAAAGAAAAGAGTGGTGTGAGTGAGGAAAAATTAATGGGTTCACATTCTGCATGATGGGAGGGGGGCAATGCCTATATCTCCATAAAGTGTCCTTTGTTTGGCTGTGAAGTAAGAGGGGAGAATGCTTCTTCATGGCTGGGCTTTAGCAGCCGGTCCAAGATTGATTCTTGTATTTACTGGAGGAAAAGGAAGCGTTCATGAGGAGCATGCAGAGTGTATCCTCAGCCTCTTCCACCACCGCCTCTCTCTACTGCTCTCCCGCTATGAGAAATTAAACACAACTCAGTTGCTGCAGGAGAGTACTTTTTTTTTTAACTGGCCCTACAACTCATTCAGTTCAGCTGCTAAGCTCTTTGCTTTTGTTGGCCGCATTGGGCCAGCCATTCTCACATCTAAGCCCTGCTGCTAGATTTACAACGAAGCCGGGGCAAGTTCCACCAGGAAATTTGTGGCAGCTTCGATGTTTACCCGTAGTGAGCGGGAGAGAGCATGTGGAGCATCAGAAAAAGTCCACAAAGAGACAGAAAATTGTTCGCCTTTTTTCATCTCCAGAGAGATAAAGACWGAGAGTAAGAGAAGGTTTAGAACGTGTAATCGTTTAATTTGACAAATTAAATGACGGTACTGCTGGGATAGACAGAAGTTTTCCCACACTCTCTCTGGAGGTCTTTGTTGGATTAAAATGGTTTACAGTGGATTTTTAAACAAGACTTCAGTTAGGATTTTATTTTTTTAACTGTAACTTTTAAATCAATGTTTTAGCATTAAGGATGTACAGTCAAGAAGAGTGTCTTTGTGTTTTTTTCTCTTTGTGAATGAGTGAGTGAATCACAACCCCATGCTGTTAAAGTGAACTGTGGTGTTGGAAGAAGAACTTCAGCCCATCAATGTGCTTCCTCCTCCCAGAGGCGTAAAAGGAGTAGTCATTCATGAAAATGCCACATGCAGACAGTATGTGACCATCTAGTTCTGTTACTGCTGCATGTGTTGGTGGTATGTCCACTCTTATGTGAATGAAACCACCGTGTGTGTCCGTTTGTGTGTGAGTGTGTGTATGTGTGCTCTCATGCACTTCTGTGCGAGCTTCAAAGAGCAGCACATTTTCCCACACTGCCAGGATCACTCCTCTGGGCTTCTCCTGTTAAAGAAATGGGGGCCAGAGGAGCTCTCTTTTTCTTTTCAGGCTCCTGGCCCGGCTCTGTTCTGTCCTGTTCTGTCCTCAATTGGACTTTGACTGAGTGCCAGGAAGCAAGGGGATGTATGTTGCTCCCCTCTGCCTTCCAAGAGGCTGAAGTCTTTGTTCAGGAAGACTTGAGAAGTTGGGCACAATTCTGTAAACCTAAARGGTTTGATAAAAAGAACTGATTTGARTGGTTAGGGAGTACTTGCTACTGTATACATGATGTTATTATATGTGTGAATACTATTACTTTATATTGCTGTCAGTAGATAAATTGGTGCTTGAGAACTTTAGCATACCATACAAGTTGTATAATATAACAATTGTGGGGAGTCACTGATGAAGTGAGTAGGTGCACCTAAAATAACACTTTTAATTATTAAAAATTAGCTCTGATCATAGCATCATTAAGTTTAGAGAGTTAATAGGTGCTACCACACATTCAAATCACAGTCTACTTACTATAACAACACAATGTGGACCAATAATTATGACAAATCTAACAAAACAAATAATTTATCATTTTGAATCATGGATGAATTCCTGTAAAATCTTGTATTTACCTAATAAGCATTTCTTCTGCCAGGTTGTGTACGTGACGGCTACATTTCCATATTTCATGCTGATGATCCTGTTGATCAGAGGCGTCACGCTGCCTGGAGCTTTTGATGGCATCAAGTTCTACCTCTACCCAGACATTTCACGTCTCTCTGACCCTCAGGTAGGCTTTGAGCTGATATTTTTGTTTTCAGTGGAAATCCTCAAATGCGGTTATATGTTTAACAATGAAAATGACAAAGGCAGTTTTGGTGTTTTACAATCTCTGATACGGGTGCTTCAGCTTTGGTTAGATGGTGGTGCAGCTGTATCACTTGTGGCAGTTTTAGACTGAAACTCTTTGAAAGTCACCAGAATTTGTTTTTTTTACAATAAATCACCCAAAGACGTCAAAATATCTTAAGTTATAGTATTGTGTATTAAATATGTTGTATGTAAAAATTTACAAGTGAACACACACACACACACACACACACACACACACACACACACACACACA